CTGAATTTAATGAATATTGAGCTCTATTAGCTGCCTTAGGTTTTAGTTGCTTGATTTAAGTGTGTAGTTTTGAACTACTAATTTGCATGTAGTTCCTAAACATAGAGTTAAGCGCTGCACCCAAGAAAATCCCATTTAAACTTTTTGACTGAGGAAAATTGTGTTTAAACGTGATACTACTACTAGGGAACTACATCTGTGAAAAGGAGCATATTTATAGTAAAATGTATATTTGCCATGTCTTCTGTGGAGAACTGAATTGATCTTAACTTTGCGTTGCCTTGTTGGAATCCCAGTCTAGTTCCTGTTCCCTTGCAGGCAATTGTTACCTAGTAGATAAACCAGTGAATGTCTACATGTATTTCTTGCAGTGCGTTTGTCAGATGCCCAAATGTGAGATACATATTCTGGGGAGCCTATCCATTATCTTGCTACTGCCTTCTAGCAAAGCAAGTGCTATGTCAGTTTTTTTCCTTTCATGGATGAGAACTCTTTTTCTTTCCTTTTTTATTTTTTTTTTCTTTCAGTCCAAATTGTGTGTTTCTGTATTGAGTTTCTCCACATGCTTTAGATGTTTATATCCATCTGGCATAGTATTACTGTAGCAATCAGTTTAACAGATGACAATAGTAAAAGCTGTAAGAGAAAATTTCTACATGATTTAACATTGAAGACAAGTTGATTTGGAAAAAAAAAAAAAAAAAAAAAACCATAAGAAAGATTTTTAATGCATTCAATTCACTTTTTTTTTCTTTACACATACTGTGTGGTTTCAAGTAAGATGCACCTAATAGTCTTTAATGATTATGCCTTTTCATTTTAATGCCTAATAGTTTGTTTTTCTTTCTTGTGAGGAAATCCACAGATAAAAGTAGGTGTAGAAACAGGCTCAAATTTTAATATGTTGTGCATTATTTTGCTCTAGATCTTACAGAGTTTGCTCTTACTTTCACCTAATGTAAGGAGTTACATGCTACTTTGATCTCTGGAAGTGAACGTATCAGAGTTCACGTGAAGGGAAAAAGAGGTGCTGCCCAAACAAAACAGATTAAATTTTTTAATGAGATGGTAGGCTTTCAAGAGTAAGGGCCAATAAAGGGTTAAGCACCAAGTAAGGGCTTTCATGACTATTTATTACTCGTTTTCTTTCAGATTGACTTTATTCAAACCCTTAGAATTTTCATGACTTCCTCTGAAATTTAGATTTGCCCACAGGCTTCTGGTTGGGTGCACTCAAGGCTTCCCATGCCCATGCTTCACATCCTACAGGCCTCTATAAAAGGTCTAAGCATTTATCTTCGGAAGGGCTGTGCTAGCTACTTCGGGTGGTCAGAACACATTCTTGTACCTTGAGGAAAGCATGTAATTTCAGAGATGAGTAATATTGAAGATGTTCTATCTACATTCGATTTTTCTTCCCTGGCTATCTTGAAATGGCTATGCATTGAATGGACTGACATCAGATATCTGAAAGTACAAGGCACTTGGGATTTTCATTCTGATGCAGGGAAGCTCTCCAGTATTTGATGCAAGAAGGCTCTTCTGTTGCTCTGTTTTGAAGCCAGGATCTTACAGTTGAGTGTTCGTGTATCCATCTTGTACGTGCCTGGTTTCTTCAGAAATATTACCTGAAGTGCTGTCTAGAGGCTGTATTTAGGCTTAGGACAGATGTTACTATGTTTGAAACAGCATGCAATGGCAGATTACTTAACTCTAGATTTAGCATGCAGTTAGGTGATCAAATGTCTTAGTTTACAGCTTTGTTCAGTGTTTGTGTGAATGAGCGTCCTGCTATAGATGAGCTAGAAGAAGAGAAACTTCAGCTTCTGAAAGTGGTGGTTGGTGAGACCTTTGTAAGTGGAAACTGTCCAGAAAGACCTTCAGGTGGGGTTTGATGGTGTTCTCATACAGTCCAGAGTTCAAACAATTAAAAGGATATGTTTAGATTGTCTCCTACTCTTTATCTCGTGGACTAGAAAGAGCTTGCCAAATTCTTCATAACAGAACATATCCTAAGTGTTGGAAGGAATATAGTTTTATTTCATGCCTTTTAAGGCAGGAAAAAACCGATAAGACTAAATAAAATTTGTTTGCTTCCTTTTTGTACTCAGATAATTATTTTGTGGATTTTATTTGATACCTGTTGTGTTTTAAAGGTGAGAAAATGTCTTATTAGTAATAGAACAGGAATATCTCTTGTTCTAGCTGGGTGTCGATTTATTCTTCACCTTTCAGCATCCTAGTTAATTATTGAACAACAGGATCTAAAAGTCCAGCACAGCAGGATTTTATACTTTGATCAGCCCAAAACCATAAACATCTTAGGAACCAGTGTACTGAAGAAAAGTATTGGAAAGATTGAAAATGCTAACTTTAGTTTCCTGTGTACATGAAAATAAGGAAATAGTTCTTCTCTTATTGTATTATTGCCGAAGTTAATTCTATGTTTTCTGTGCTGAGGTATTTGAAGATGTTTGTATTGCAAGTTAAAAACACAGATGGAATGCTGCATGAAAGAGGTGCACTGGTTTGACAGACTGAAATGGGGGGAGAGCACGTGTGCAAATTCAGCAAAAGTAATAAATAGCATTATTTTCTGAGCCCTGACCAGGAGCAAGGATGCCACTCTCGCTGCTGCATTTGGAATACTAAGGAGGCTCTTCTTTTCTCATCACTGGGTCCTCCAACATTTTAGACAACTGAAACACAGCAAAAAATAAAATGTGGTAAATGTATGTACGGACTGTAGATTCAAGAATGGTGTAATCAGAAACTCATAGAAACCAATCCTTGCATAGAAAAGCACTTGACTTTCTTTCTGCTGAATTAAAAATAAAAGTCAAATTGTTAGCAGTGTGTGAAAAGCCAGTGTTAGGAACACTAAAAAATGAAATGAATTTTAAGTGTAGTATGAGTTTCTAATTGGAGAAGCACATTTAGTGACATTGACTTACATTACTATTGCATAAGCATTCATCCCAGTATGCTATTCTACCTTTTAGGTGGTAAAACATTCACATTCCTTTGCATCACATTTCATTTCTGTTTTTGTAAACTTGAGAAAATCTATTATTTGACTTGATTGAAAATTAATTAGATGTTATACTTGATAAATAATTTAGGGTAGCTGCAAAGTGTATTATTGCATAATTAAATATGATTAAGATGAAGGTATGGTCTGGACTGAAGTTCTCCAGACACTTGCACTCAAGTGTCATTTCCAGAAATGACATTGGAGTATGCATCTGATTGAAATTCCAGACCATCAATTCCCATCAAACTGAAAAAGTCAGAAGTTGTTTTTTAGTAACTGTTTGTGAAATGTTTGTGCTTCTGTTTTTACAAAAATAGTTAATGATGCATTTATAGCATGTGCCTCTAACATATTTGTTTTCTAACATATCTGTTTTCTTTTGACTTTTATGACAAGTGCAGGGTTTCAAATACCTTTCTATTGCTATCTTAATTGTGTTCTGTTGATAAATCCTCATTTGAAAGTAGACATGTTGAATTTTATTTCCTTCTATGGTATCACAGCATATGTATTAGTTGAGTTATCTCTTTTGGCTTTGGATTTGTTCAACACAGACATATGAATATCTTTTTTAGTTTTTTAGTTGCAAATCTGGTGTGTAAATTGATTATTTTGAAGGTGTACCTCAATAAAACACATTAACAGGCACTGAAAAAGAGCCCATAAATTGAGTAGATGTTCATGTGAGGGTTGTTTGAGTGTAACTTCATGTGGACTATGCCTTTACATTTCTTCTTGCTGTTGGGGTGGATAATATTGTAACATTACACCTCCTCCTCCTGCGTGCTTTTTTTCTTTTCTGTAGAACTTAACCAATTTGCTGGGTGTTTTCCTTCTTTTCTAAGCTCCTGAAGCCAGGAGACAATCAAGTGACCTTCACTGAAGGAACTGGGGTTCTTTAGTCTGTGGAAAAGGAGACTGAGGGGAGATGCTATTGCTCTCTTCCAAAATCTGAAAGGTGATTGCAGCAAGAACGGGGTTGGTCTCTTCTCACTGGTGACAGGTGACGGGATGAAGGGAAATGGCCTCAAGCTAAGCCAGGGGAGGCTTAGGTTGGATATCAGGAAACACTTCTTTACAGAAGGGGTTGTTAAGTGCTGGAATAGGCTCTCCAGGAAGGTAGTTGAGTCACCATCCCTGAATTTATTTAAAAGCTGCTTGGATGTGATGCTCAGGGACGTGATTTAGCAGAGGGTTGTTAGAGTTAGGGTAGAATGGTTAGGTTGCGATTGGACTTGATGATCTTTAAGTTCTTGTCCAACCTGAGCAATTCTATGGTTCTGTGACCACACTTAATCAGTAAAAGCAGCTGATAAGCTGAAGTGAGCCTAAGGAATCAGGAACATTTTAAACTGCATCCCTATTAGATACAGCATCCCAACATCTGTACTCACATCTGTCCTCGATTTCAATTGGACTAAGCAGACAGAAGTGCTTGAATAGTTTCCACCTCTGACTGATTCTCTTCTAGTATCTGTAGATTTACTGCAGTGCTGATCATGACAAGGTTTTTTTCTTTTTTTTTTTCTTTCTTTCTTTCTTTCTGTGCATGGAAAATAAGGATTCTAGTACTTACTAGCCTTGAAAATAATCTTAAGATTCTTGAAAGCGATTTGAGGTTAAATACAGTTTATAATGATGTGGAATGGAATAGCGATATGACTGGAATAGACTCCTCAGGGAGTTGATTGAGCTGCCATCCCTGGATGTGTTTAAAAACCATTTAGATGTGGTGCTCAGGGACATGATTTAGCAGAGGGTTGTTAGAGTAGTATGGGTAGTATGGTTAGGTTGTGGGTGGACTCGATAATCTTTAAGGTCTTTTCCAGCCTGAGTGATTCTATGATTCTATATTACTAGAAGCAAGTTAAAAAATTATTTTTTAATGATGCCTTAGTTACAGATTACTGTAACAGAAAAGGAAGGTGAAATAATGAGAAATTGAAATAGTGACTTTGTTTTGCAGGTTCTTTCATGTTGGTGAATACATCTGGGAGATATGCAGGACAGAAAGCTCACCTCCTGATGCCCCATCTAAAAGAAAATGATACGCATTGTATTGATTTCCACTATTATGTTTCAAGCAAGAGTGGATCTAGCCCTGGCACTTTGAATGTGTATGTGAAAGTTAACGATGGACCTATTGGTAACCCAGTGTGGAACACATCTACTACTAGTACTTGGAACAGAGCAGAACTGGCAATTAGCACTTTCTGGCCCAATTTTTATCAGGTATGTTTTGTTTTTTATGGAATTATATTTCTCGTAGTCAGCACCTGGCTCTAAATTATCATTTTGACTTAAAAATCAAAATATTTTTCAGTATGTTTAATTGATCTTTATCTTACATTTTTGCAGATAAGTGTTTTTACATGCATACAGCTATGTTTAAATGTTTACATATATTTACAGAAATATGAGATGCATTCATACACACGCACGCACTTCATATTTATGACAGATGCGAGCCCAGAATTATGAACTAAATGAATACCATGGAGAATTTACATGGATGGCCCATAGACCAGAGGAATAATAAGTGTATGCGTACATATGTCAGTAAGGAAGATAAGTGATAGTAATTAGTTGTGTAGATGTGTAGAAATTAGTAATTAGATGTGTAGAAACTGTGGGGCAGTGATGTAAATGGTATGGAATAAGGCATGAATATCGTCTTAGTTTCATAAGTTGGGTCATAATTCTTCAGAGTGTCTGTTATGATGCTATGTTTTGCTGCTAAGAGAAAAATGATGTTGATAACACACCAATGTTTATAGTTGCTGCTCATCAGTGTTGTACAGAGCCAAAGCCATTCACAGAGAAGGGTCCAAGGAGCTGGGAGGGAACAGAATTAGGACAGCTGTCTTAAACTGGCCACCGGGATATTCCATACCATACGACATCATAAGAAGGGGTTTTGAAGGGGATGGGAGTTCATCTCACTCTCTTCCACTGCTCAGGGGCTAGCTGGGTGTCAGTCTGGAGTGGTGAGCAATTGTTTGTGCATCATTCGTTATATACATTTATATATCTTTATATGTTTGTCATAATTATTATCTTTTCCTCTACTTTGATAAATAGTTTTATCTCAAACTGTGAGTTCTACTTCATTTTTTTCTTTTTGATTCTCTCCCCCAGCAACACTGGGAAGGAAGAGTGAGTGAACAACCATGTGGTGCTTAGCCACCTGCTGGTTAAACTGCAACAAATGTGGATGAAATAATCATGTTGAAACAATCAAGAATTTCTTCTATTGATTCCAGTCAATCACTTTAATTTCTCGATAATAAATCCAGTAATTCTTTCAGTTCATTAAGGATGCTGGAATTGAATGTCAATAGATTTTACTGCATTAGAGTCTTCAGGTTTGATTTAGATGATGAATACTTGTTGACCAATGCAGTCAGAAATGGAACAACAGCTACCAAAGGAATGTTCTTCTGATTACATCCTAAAGATTTAGTGAGAATCTCACTTGCCAGTTTCTTGAAAGTACTGTATGGAAGCCTTAATAGGAGCAGACCAAAGGTATTACTTAGGTACCTATCATTTTCACTTGCACTGTGTTTGGTTCCCCTGGTCTGACATTTTTCACTCATTATTTGAAGCTTTCACGAGGAAGGCTATCTCAAAGATGGGGACTGCAGATGTCCTTCTACAGTGTTTTCTATGTGTGTGTTATACAGAGAGTGACAGCAGTTTGATTCCTACATCAATATCCTGACCACTACTATCACGTATGGTAGAACCTTGTTTCTGTTTCTGCATGTGCCAGGAGTGACCAGGTGTTGATTCTTGAAGGACATCCAGGGTAAGTTTATGGATGTCTCAGCAAGCCTCACTGGAAGAATTCAAGGTGTGGGTCACCTAAAGTGGGCTATTGATTCAGTGGAGGATACTGGCATCTCTTCCAGAAGATCAGGCCTATTAGGAAAATTTAGGTTATCCTAAGCATTGTAGGAAAATCTGCATACTACTTAAAGCCTCATGCTCTAAAGAGGCATCTTGACCACAGAGTCCAGGCTTGGTTTAGCCGTACTTCTACCTCTCACAAGGTGAAAGGGCACCTTTCTTGAAGGTTGTATGCCACACATTACCAATTTCATGCTACTGTTGAGAATGCCCTCCAGTGATACCAAAGAGCCTTTCTATCTTGACTGTAACAATGAACCTCAATGGGCAATAGAAGAGTAGAGCGTTCCACATAGAATTTCACAGCTAGTATGGGTTATAACTCTGGCTGCTTTGTAACAGAACATCTTCTGGAGGTATTTATGAGCTTTCTGGGTTGTCCAGGAGAGTAGTATGATGTGTGTACATTTTGCAGACGCTGGGTGAACATACAATTGTGTTGTTTATGCTTTGGTCTGGAGTTAGGTTGTCCACACTGGAGTTTAGAGTGAGTTAAGGAAGAAACTTAAGATTTAATTCCTTCTGAAAAGAGTCTGGTTTGGATGCAGCAGAACTGCTCTGCGAACCAACAGGCAGTGAAGATGAGGAAAGTGTTTCAAAGCCTCACTAAAGCTCTGAAACAAAGTAGTAATGTGTGGGGGGGAATTTTAACAGAAGAAGCACAGACTCTTGATAAGTAAGTTTAAGCTAAATTAAAATTCTGATAAAAATACTGCAATTTGAGAGAGTTTAAAATCTGTTGTTGATAATAATAATAATCTGTATCAGATTTCTAACAATATGACACATCTAACTGATGTCTCAGGAATATTGATATTTGGCCACTGAAACAGAAAGATAACCTTTCTCTCAAGACCTGAACCCAGGACTGTTCGCCTTTATTCATAGGTGAACCCTTATATGCTTGGATCAGTTACTGCAGTTTAGGAAATTACTGTGCATCACCTTATGTAAAATAGACACCTAGATATTTTGACACAATCTACCCTTCCTTCACTGAGGACTATATTAAGTCATTTTCATTGCATTTGCTGCATAAATTGTGAAATTACTTCTGCTTAAGAATTGCAATTTAGTTGATGTGCCAAAATGTATTATAGCAATATCCATGGAGGTCCAAGGAATCAGTTTAAAATAGTATAGCTTCACTATTTTGTTGCAGATGAACTAATTTATTCTTGAAGAAGCTCTCTCTCCATCTTCATATTTCATGGCCATTGCCAATTTGTTTGCCTCCATTCTCTTAGAAATCTCTAATGCATTTTCCTTACTGATACAGTGATGGAATTTCTCTTTATTTCTCATGGAATCGTAGAATTACAGAGCATCCTGAGTTGGAAGGGACCAAATGATCATCCAGTACAGCTCCCAGCTCCACACAGACCACGCAAAATTAAAACCTTATGTCTGAGAGCTGTGTCCCAACATTCCTTGGACTCCAGTACTTGAGGCCATGACCACTGGGCAGCCCGTTCCATGCCCACTACCTTCTGGTGCAGCATCTGTCCCTCACTCCCAGCTGCCCTCCCCTCTCAGCTCCATGCCTTTCCCTTGCGCCCTGTTGCTGTCACACAGGGCAGAGCTCAGCGCTGCCCTCCGCTCCCTGTGAGGAGTTACAGCTGCCAACAGAACTCCCCTCAGCTCCTCTGTTCTGGGTGAGCAAACACAGGGATTTCAGCCGCTCCTCATACATGTTGTTCTCTAGACCCTTCACAATCTTTGTAGTGCTCCTTTGGACACTCTATCATAGTTTTATGCCCTTCTTTTGTGGGGCCAAAACTGCACTTAGTGCTGGAGGTGAGGCCATACAGAGAAGAGCAGGACAACCCCTCCTTTCCCGTCAGTGGCAGCGACCCTTCTGGCTGCCAGGGCACACTGCTGACACATGTTTAACTTGCTGTCAGCCATAACCCTCACATCCCTTTCCAAAGGACAGCTCTCTAGCCTCTCATCCCCAGTCTGTACATATATCTTGGGTTGCCTCGTCCCAGGTGCAGAGTCCTGCACTGGCTCTTTTGTGCTATTTTAATCTGTTTGCAGGCTCTTTCCTCTTCGTGGAGTCTATTCTGGGGATAGGCAAGAGGTTAGCTGCAAGCAGCTGGGAGGTGGAGAGAAGCTATATGTGGATCTTGTGAGAATGTGCATTGAAGTTAGATGAGAGCTCAGACTGCTTAACATGCGGTGGGAGGAAGCAGAGGACCCACCTGAGAGGTGTCCTGCAACAGCTCAGTTTCTTGAGCTCCTGCTCTTTTGATTAAAAAAATCCTTAGCTTTTTTGTCACAGACTCATGTCTTTTTCACATAAAATCCGAAAGCTCCAGAACTTTTTATCAGGATTTATCAGTGGCTGGGTGACAGAATCACAGAATCACCAAGGTTGGAAAAGACCAAAAGACCTTCAAGATCATCCAATCCAACCATCTACCTATCACCAATAGTACTCACTAGACCATGTTCCTCAACACAAAATCCAAACGTTCCTTGAACACCTCCAGGGTCGATGACTCCACCTCCTCCCTGGGCAACCCATTCCAGTGTCTGACCACTCTTTCAGAAAAGTAGTATTTCCAAAAATACTTCTTTCCTAAAAGTCTTCTGATAATATTGTTTAAGGAATGATAGGGGCCTTTTTAACTTTTCACACATGAAGGCTGGTAGTTTCCTGAAAGTAGTGTCCAGGAAAAGGCTCTGCTTTAGCAGATGAAGGGAGAAAGCAACACAGTGCTCTGATTTGCTTTTTTGTATCTTAAGTTGCATATTCATGTGGGCATCTGCATCCCCTGTGAATGCACTATAATTCCATTCCATTAATAGGATATCCTACAAGGTTTCTAGCTGCAGATGAAGCCAAGATGTACTACAGACAAATTGTATGATAACATTCCACAGTTGTAATATTTATATAACCCAGGATGCATAAAAACAGTGGTGTTAGTCTGTTTTGCTACTGATTCGTGAAGAATGTAGGCAAAATAACTCCCACTAATGGTATCTGAGTAGAAATTAAATTCTGTAGTGTGGAGTGAATTTTAATCCAATGTCTAAAGATTTATTTGCTTAAACCACATATTAACACACACGCAAAGCATTCAAAAGATTTAATAGTTAAGTGTTTTATTATTGTAGCACCAGTTATCCAAGCTGCCTAATAACTTTCATGTTGAGTTTCCATTTAGAATTGACTCTTTGGAAGTACAGTTTCTGAACAAAATAATTAATTTCTCTCAGCATACACTTTTCTTTTTATTAGGTAATTATTTGTGTAGGTTTTACCCCATATGAAAGCTGTGCCACGTATATAAATCACCATGATAACCTGC